GCAGAGTGGATGCTGTGCTTCACAGTACCTAAGGGAGGGTGGTTCCTCCTCACCTTTCAAGTCAGATCTCACCTGCTCTGCTCAGGCCCACCTCCCCTGGGCCTTTCCTCTTGCCATCTGCCACCCACATCATTTTTGCCAGTCTACTTCAATCATGCCTTTCAAACCTCAACTCAGAAAATAAAAAGTTTTGTTTTTCTTTAAGTTTTTTGAAAAATAGTAGAAACAGTTGAAAGGCAAGTCCAGTGTTTGACAATCTTTGGGGGCTTGAGAGATTATTATAAGTACCTCAGTCTAAATTTGAGCATATTATTTTTTGGCCATTTTGATATGGTTTGACTGTGTCCCTACCCAAATCTCATCTTGACTTGTGGCTCCCACAGCTTCTACATGTTGTGGTAGGGACCCCATGGGAGGTGGTTGAATCATGGGGAGGTGGGTCTTTCCCATGCTGTTCTTGTGGTGCTGAATGAATCTCATGAGATCTCATGGTTTTGTAGGGGAGAGTTTCGCTGCCCAAGCTCTCTTGTATTGTTTGCCACCACATGAGAGGGGCCTTTCACCTTCCACCATGATTATGAGGCCTCTCCAGCCTTGTGGAACTGTGAGTCCATTAAACCTCTTTCTTTTGTAAATTGTGGAGGCTTGGGTATGTGTTTACAGCAGCATGAAAAGGGACTAATACACATTTATTCTGAACATACTTACTGATCAATTATTAGGTGTGAAATACTCTGGGGGTAGATTAGGAATGAGATAATCCTTGCTCTAAAGGAGCTTCCAGTTCAGGGAGGACATAGGAGACAGCAGGGCCATAAACAGCTACAGCTCAGAGTGAGGGAGCATCTGAAGATGTCCTCCTGAAAGAGCCCCACACTGAGTCCCCAGGGATGGCCGGCAGCAGGTAGAGAGCACCTTGCACAAGGCTTGGAGCTAATTCAGGGGTTCTGAAGCCTTTGTAAGAGAAGCTATGCTTCAAGCAGACACGATTAAAGCAAGTCTGGAGTTTCTCTGCTCCAGGCTGAGCAGTTCTTCCGCGTTTACTCTGGACATTGTCTCAGAGTGCAGCTCCTGGTGTCCAGAAGAGGCACCGGAAGCAGACTTGTCTTTCAAGACCAGGGAAGAAAAAGGATCATTTTCATATAGAGATATCTGGATCCTGGAAACTGATCCAGGATATCTGTAACAGGACATAACGTTACCACCTCGGACAGACAGTGACTGTAGTTTTAACAGCACTTTGAAGGCCCACTGTGCTCCAAGAAGCAAGTCCTTCACATGCTCTGAAAAATTAACGGGAGTGGAAACTTACCTGACTGCTAAAAAAAACTTTAAAAGTGGGTAACAGAAGGGTTTTTGGTAAGTTGGGTCCTCTAAATCCTCCAAATCTGAGAGTTCCCTGCATCCTAATCTAACTAGGGTGGGATTTTTTTTTTTTTTTTGCAGATGGAGAGTCTCACTCTGTTGCCCAGGCTGGAGTGCAGTGGTGTGATCTTGGCTCACTGCAATCTCTGCCTCTCGGGTTCAAGTGATTCTGCCTCAGACTTCCAAGTAGCTGGGATTACATGCAGCCGCCACCATGCCCAGCTAGTTTTTGTATTTTTAGTAGAGACAGGGTTTCACCATATTGGACAAGCTGGTCTTGACCTCCTGACCTTGTGATCCTCCCACCTCGGCCTTCCAAAATGCTGGGATTACAGACATGAACCACAGCGCCTGGCCCAGGGTGGGATTTTAAAATGCATTTTGTTTTAGCTCTTACTATGTGTCAGATGGTCTTTTTTTCTGACTTGATTCCTGGGACTAGTCACTCCAATTCTGCATTAATGCTAGTTGTTTTTCCACCACTCCAGAATGTCAGTAACACTAGCAAACCTTAGAGGAGCTTATGTTATGTCACACCTAAAACTTACTCTTGGCCAAAATCTTAAATCCACAAGATGAATTACAGACTTAAGTAAAAGCTGTTATGTACTTAACCGCACCAACATTTTCCATTACAAATACTGTTTTTATTCTTCTTTAATTTGAAAAAAATTAAAAAAAGTGCCTTGAGGGGGCTTTGAATTTCCAAGCTTTCTAGATCAAAGATTTCTTCAGCTGTCTGGATTATAGGAATGTTGAAAAACAAAAACAAATCATTTTCCTGCTATAAAATCCTTGCCATGTTTTTGTCTTTATGTAACTCAAAACGGCTGAACTGAGAAATGAGGTTGGTGACTCCTGTTCAAAACCTAAAACTTAATCAGAAATAAAGTAATTGATAATTCCAAAAATGTGATTCCAATGAATTGACCCAAAAATAAGTATTACTGAACTCTTATTTGATGACCCAGACAACTGCTAAAGAGCACTTGTAAGAGAACAAAATAGATTTTGGCTAAGAATACCAATATTTTAAATTGTTGATTAAAGTGATTCAAGACTAAATTATAATAATTAGGGCTTGGTGGTGTCCAGTGTCAATTTTCCTGATTCCACATCCGCCCACAGCTATAAATGTGTCCTTTTAGTAATGTGATCTTCAAAACAGTGAACTATTTATTTCAAAAGCTTTTGCAGAAAACATTAGATTATATAAAGTAACAGTTCCTATTTTCATAGTCATCAGTTTGCTCATGTTTTCTGTATGAGGCCTGACCTGTGGTATGTCCTTAGCTCTTGGTCATCTGGCATAATAGATAACATGATAATTTACCAGGGGTGCACTAGTGGGCTCAGAATTTCAGCACTTCCAAAATGAAGCACATTTTGCTTTGTCACTAGAGAGAAGTCATGTATGCTCACAGTAGTGAAAAAACGAGATGGCATGTATGGTGTAAAGCATATGTCCTTCTGCATGGGGGACAGTGATGGCTATGTGTTCTTGCACATTGAGATATGAAGCACTTTTGCATGGATCAGAGGTCAGTTGTTTCCAATTTTCCCTCCATGTTATCTTTATTTAAAATTTAAAAAATTATTTTCTAATTATTAAAAAGAAATGCACCTAGAGAAAAATTAAAAACTGAAAAAAGTAAAAATATAGAGTGCAAAAATTCCACCATTTGCATTTACTTATGTGAATTTGCATTTGTTGTATTTACTTTATGAGAATGTTTACATAATTGAGATCATGCTGCATACAGAATTTCTTTAAAGAAAAATTAAAACAATCATTTTCTCATGTTACTCTGAGTTCTCTAACATCAGTCTTAATGAATACATATGATTCTATTATGGGATGTATGCTTTATAACCATTTTGGGACACTGAAGTTGCTCCCAGTATTTTGCTATCAAAAATATTCAGCAATTCACATCTTTACACATAAAAAATGTTCTATATTGCTATATTAGGTAAAGACTTTAGGTTGCAAGTCAAAGGAAATCAGTTTGCCTTGGCTCAAGAAAAAAGAAAATGTATTCGTTTACGTAGCGGAAAGCTAAGCGTGCATTAGCTTTGGGCACAGCTGGACGCAGCAGCTAAATGATGTTTTCAGATGCTTTCTGTCTTCTGGGCCACTTCCTTCTATGCTGGCTTTGCTCTGAGGCCTGTTCCTTTATATTCTCTTTCACAAAGACAGTAGCTGTTTCCCAGTCATTCCAGAAGTCCAACGATGGCTCGTTGATATGACTGAGGTCCAGCACCTGGGCCTGAGCCTGTCACTGGAGCCAGGGTAAGAGAATGTTCTAGATGGCCAACAGGAGAGCCCTGCTCCCTCTCCCACCTCCCCTGCTCTGTTCATCTGGCCCCTTTGCTGTTTCCTGAGCCCATCCAGCCTGCCTGTCACTGAGGACCACTGTTCTCATTCCCCTCCGCCTCCACACTGTCCCCCCCACTGTCCCCACGGCATGGTGCTCCTTCACTTCCTTCAGTCCCCACTGACCACCCCCACTGTCTCTGTTTTCCCTGACTTCACAGACCTATTGCTCCCTGATGTTGTGTTATATATTCATGTAGTTTAACTTGTCACCTTCACAGGAACCACAAGGGGTGACACTGTTTGTTTGCAGCTCTAGCCCACCCTATAACATTGATACTATTTATCAAGTGAGTTAATGAACGAGTCTGCCAGGCCAGGTGTGTCCCCATCTGTAGGGTGGGCTCACCCTAAGGACTACAGATGGGTGAGGGATAGGATAGGATGTGATTTCTCGAAAGAAAAATAAGAAATTGGGCAGCTATCTCCAGAACTAGCAGACTAAATGCTGGGCTAACTGAAACACTGATGTCCCTTACCATTTCAGATCACTTTCTTTTTTTTTTTTTAAAGGGTTTTCATTTTTTTCAAAAATTGCACCAACATAAAGCAGAGCTTTAGTTGATGTGTGTGTTGTTTAGGCGTTAGCAGTACTGCCCTCACTATGTGCTCACTGGACAGTAGCACAACCCCAATCCCAGGAGCGAGAAATTCCAAGGATATGAATGTTCGGGTTTCCTGATAAGGACTGCTTTCACTTTTACGCCCCCCCAATATAAATTCTCCTTATAGCAGATAAAATAGTATTTCCTAGATGCAGATCATGACATCATGCCCTTCCCCAACTTCAAACAGATAACTTTCCTGTGTACCATGACCAAAAGCTCACCCTGGCATCCAGGCCCAAACTGGTCCAGTCTCAGCCTTACCTCTGACCACGTCCTCATTCTGCTTCCCTTTGTGCACCAGGCCCTAAAACACTGGCTTTCTCTTCTGCCCTGGAATTCACTCATCCTTATCTTGGGACCTCCATATTTTCTCTTCCTTCCTCCTGGAAGGCCCTTCTTAACGCTTCCTACCCTTTCTTCAGGCCTTAGCACAAATGCCATCCCTCAAGAGGCCCAAGAGGCCTTCCACTTCCACGATGCTTCTCTCCCAGCCTCTCCAGCAGATATGGGCATATATTTTTTTTTTTTCACAGAATTCACCCTTTTTGGTTCCTTGTGTATTCTCTGTCTTCCCCACTAGACTGTAAGCCCCATGAGGCCCTTTTCTGTCCATTATTATATCCCCAAAAGTCAAACTGGCACCTGGCAGATCAAAGACACTCAATAAATATTTATTAAAAAAAATAACAAATTGCTCTCCAAGAGTATTGTAGCAATTTATGAATCAGCAGTAGGAACACTCAATTCATCTCGAATGGATGCTATTTTCTTAGAAAACAACTTGAGATAGATTCTTTTGGATCCTCACTGTGTGAGTCCTGGAGGAGAAGCAATGGCACTGTTTTCTAACAGACAACACTTCCCATCTGAACAGAAATCAAGCACACTCTGTTATAGCCAGGTATGTTATAACAAGGACCTAGTAGAATTTCACTTTCCCATTAGGTTTTTTTCTTTTTTAAAGATAGGGTCTTGCTATGTTGCCCAGGCTGGAGTGCAGTGGTAATTCACAGGTGTGATCCCACTACTGACCAGCACAGAAGTTTTGACCCGCTTTGTTTCCAATCTGAACCAGTTCACCCCTCCTTAGGCAACCTGGTGGTCCCATGCTCCCTGGTGGTCACCATATTTTTTTTTCTTGAGATGGAGTTTTGCTCGTTACCCAGGCTGGAGTGCAATGGCACGATCTCAGCTCACTGCAACCTCCGCCTCCTGGGTTCAAGCAATTCTCCTGCCTCAGCCTCCCAAGTAGCTGGGATTACAGGCACACACCACCATACCCAGCTAATTTTTTGTATTTTTAGTAGAGATGGGGTTTCACCATGTTGACCAGAATGGTCTTGATCTCTTGACCTCGTGATCCACCCGCCTCAGCCTCCCAAAGTGCTGGGATTATAGGTGTGAGCCACCAAGCCTGGCCTGGTCACCATATTGATGCCAAACTTAGTACAGATACACAATCAGTATAGCTCACCATAGCTCCAAATTCCTGGATGCAAGCAGTCATCCCACCTCAGCCTCTTCAGTAGCTGGGACTACAGATATGCGCTGCCACACCTGGCCTGATCTAGTTTAAATATAGCCTGAGTGGTTTGTTGTTGTTGGAGACAGGGTCTCACTCTGTTCCCTGGTGCAACCGCAGCTCACTGCAGCCTTGACCTCCTGGACTCAACTGAACCTCCCACCTCAGCCTCCTGAGTATGTGAAACTACAGATGTACACCAACATAACCAGCTAATTTTATTTTTTGTAGAGACAGGGTCTCACTATGTTGCCCAGGCTAGTCTCAAACTGCAGGGCTCAAACAATTCTCCTGTCTCAGCCTCTCAAAGTGCTGGGATTACAGGCATGAGCCACCATACCCAGGCTTTATAGCCTGAGTCTTAATCCCCTTATGAAAGTAACAAGAAATATTCCTATTGCAAATGGACTCAAGATAACTTTCTAAAAATGTTACATTGAATAACAATAAGTGAAAAAATCAGCTTAAGCATATGAGATGTGGATGGACATAATTTCTGAGTTATCTAATTGTGTTTGTAGTTGGATTTATAAAATCTTTCTAATCTGTTCACTATTGATGCTAGAGAGTGTATTTTTGTATATTTGTTTTTTTTAAAGAACTTTAAATTTTTTTTAAAAGTATTGCAAAAAGAGTTGATCTATATAAAAAGTATTTAATATAAAGAACACCAAAGCACCTTTTTGTCAGGAAGAAATCCCTATGACATATCTCAGATTACGCTAGTCAAATTTCCCTTATCTGAATTTCTACTTGGATACAAAATAATAAACATATCCTCATCTGTTTCAAACAAATCTTTAGCATTACCCAACACAAGGATCATAATGAATTCAGAAAAAATATTATTACATTAAAAAACAGCCAATTCAAAGTTTTTCCAGTTTAAAAATAGCACCACTTGAGGAAGGGAATATATTTCAGTTCAAAGTCCCTAAGCAGGTGGTTTACTAAAATTCAGGCAAACTAAAGACTGACGGTTTGACTTTCATAACTTTCCTATGATCTGGGTAGCAAATTAAAAGAAAGTAAAAAAACAAACCAAAGAATTGAAAGACACACAACACACACACACACACACACACACACACACTCCTGACAAAGTGTGTCTGTTTTCTGCCAGTTGTGTCACCAGTCAGCAACCTCAACCACAAAAGGTGTTTTCACATCTATCTTGCCACTGTTGACGATGGAGCAGTTGGTGAGTGGACGGTCATGCCCATCAGTTGCTTGGAGCTCTATGGAGTGCACCACTGTCTGGTGAGAGAAAAGCAGGCGTGTTTAATTCTGACCAGCAGCTATAGAAATCCAGAGGTTAAATCAAAGCCAACTCCAAAAGCCCAAGTGGGAATGGTTTTTTCTTTTTCTTTTCTTTTTTTTGACTACTAAGACCATGCTTGCTAACTGTGGAAAACTTAAAGCATTCAGAAAATATATACATCACATAATAAAATTCATTCATGACCTTCTTACTCAGACCACACTGGTATATTTCCTCACATATTTTTAAATAAGCATTTTATATTCAAAAGAAAAGATTATTGTAAACACCCAGCTCTAATGAAAGGCATTTCCATTCACCTGCTATAAGCCAGTGTAAGAGTTAACATGGAGTCTGAGTCACTTTCAGCTCCATCCTATAATAGGTCTGGACATGATAAAATGGGCCAGAAAGCAGAATCTAGAAGTGGACCTACTTCTACATTTGTCCATTTTAAAGGTGAGCCAAGCCATTAACCTATAAGTTGAGCCTAAGACTAATGTAACCCCAAGTCCTCACAGTACTGTGAAGGCACCTTTCTCTACCCTGGAAGGCTTCACAAGCCCAACAGAACTGTATTTTACACTGAAGGAGGTTAGGACTGGTTATGGACCAAGAAAGTAGGTTTTTGCTGGGTTTCCCAAACAGTGCTGAGGCTACCAGCTCAGTTCCCAAACTTGTGTTAGGTAGAGTCAGAAGAGCAGGTAGGTAGTTGTGGAAGAACTGCAGCCAGGAAGATTGGTTTATTTATATTTGGATGAGGGAGGCAGAACAAGTCAAATGGAAACAAACAAAATAAAATATGGAAGAGGGCAAGGGAGACAAGGATGTTCCAGGCCTGGGTCAGGCAGATTTCACGGTAGCCAATTTAGGAGCTGAAAGAGCTGCTTCAGTCAGCTATGAGGCAGAAACATTGAGAAAGAGAGAGAATAAGGATTTTAAGAAGTGTTCCTACAGGTTGTGAATTGGACTACTTTGACATTCTTTGAGAACCAAAAGTATAGATTCAATTTCTCTTCAGTAATTTTTGGTTGCTGTACTGTGTCTCTGTGAATGTGACCTAGGTGTCTGAGCTGAACCACATAGGATTCTGGAGTTGTTTTGTTTTGCTTTGTTTTTAACAATTTTATTTTTAATTCTGGCAAGAAACACATAACATAAAATTTGCCATCTTACTCATTTATAAGTTCACAGTACAGTGGTGTTGAGTATATTTACATTGTTGTGCAACCAATCTCCAGAATTTTTCATCTTGCAAAACTGAAACCCTATACCTATGAAATACAACATCCCATTTACCTCTATCCCCAGCCCCTGGCAACTACCATTCTACTTTCTGTTTCTATCAATGTGACCATTTTAGATACTTCATATAAATGGAATAACATAGTATTTGTCTACCTACGACTGGTTTATTTCACTTAACATAATGTCCTCAGAATTTCCTTCCTTTTGAAGACTGAATAATATTTCATTGTATGTATATATGGGGTCCTGGTATATATTGGTTCCATTAAAAAGGGCTTTACATTTATAGCAAGTAGTAAAATAAATCAATTTAAGTACTTAATTTCTCCTTGTCAGGTCCCTAGCTGCTGCACCAATGACCCTAAGAATTAAAATGTCATACCATATATAATTTATTCACCTTTGAAGAGGCCAGTCAGTTATATAATGGATCTCCAACAAGCATATTTTAAGATCAAAATAAATCACTGAAAGTACTCTCATTAAAAATATAAAGCTTTGAAAGGGAAAACATGTATCAATTTACCATCCCATCAATGACTTTTCCAAATACCACATGTTTTCCATCCAACCAGGTGGGCTTGGTCAAGGTGATGAAGAACTGAGAGCCATTGGTGTCAGGCCCAGCATTGGCCATGCTGACCCACCCAATGCCATAGTGCTTCAACTTGAAGTTCTCATCTGGAAACGTCTCACCATAGATGCTCACACCTGAGACAAAACAAGGAGGAGAATCAACAGATGTCTTCCAACAGGAAGGTAGGGATGGGGAAAACATGTTCAAACATGGAGAAGGGAAGGAGGGAATATCATTAACTCCTTAGAAACAGGGCCCTAGGGCTTAAAATGAACAAAGAAAGCACAGGATGGCGGGATATCGTCTAACTTCAAACCGAGAGCCAAACCTTGGTCAAGCAGGTCTACGATTTCACTCTGAAGTGGAAAGAAAGTGAAGGGCAGGAAACCATCCTAAAGCCGGAGGGAAAGGTGTACAAGCTATCCTGGTGGCTCTGTACCTGTTTCCTGAGCCTCAAAGCTCAGGACAGTCCTGTTACTTATCCAGGAATGGTTGTTACTTAGCACCTAACCAGGATGCACCAAGTATTCAATATACACCCACAGCGAATTCTCATAACAACCCTGAGGAGTAGGCATTCTCCATCCTATTTACAATGGGATACAGAGGTTACAAAACCTGAAAATAGCAAAGCAGAATTTGAGCATCTGACTTTCTGACTCGAAAGCTGGTGCTTTTTCTTGCCTCAGCACTGAGAACAATAGCAGCTGATCTGGAAGCTGTTGGTCACAGCAACTTCAGGACCCATCAGGACACAGAGGATGCCACCCAGTGGTCAACCTTGACCAGGAGAACCAAAGCAAGGCATGAGGTCTGGAGTTCTAGCAAAGCAGCAGGCAGAGTGAAAGACCTTTTTCCACAGACCATGAGAAGGATCTGACCATCCTCCAACACCTCAAGGGTCTTCCAGGCCCATCTCCCCTTCTGTAGGGCCCCCTTATCTACCAGTTGCTAACTTCAAAATTCTGATTTCAGTTAGAAAGCCCAGAAATAGCCGGGCATGGTGGCTCACACCTAAAATCCCAGCACTTTGGGAGGCTGAGGCAGGCAGATCATCTGAGGTCAGAAGTTTGAAACAAGTCTGGCCAACATGGGAAACCCCCCATCTCTACTAAAAATACAAAAATTAGCCGGTCAAGGTGGCAGGCGCCTGCAATCCCTTATACTTGGGAGGCTGAGGTAGGAGAATTGCTTGAACCCAGGAGGCGGAGGTTGTAGTGAGCCAAGATTGTGTAATTACACTCCAGCCTGGGTGACAGTGTGAGACTGTCTTAAAAAAAAAAAAAAAAGCCTAGAAGTGGATATCACAGGCAAGCAATTTATAACTGGCTGGTTAGTGATACTTGAATTGGCCTTATAAGAGAGTGCTCCTAAAGAGGGGCCTAGGTTGTATTTAAATGGCCCAAAACATCATCTATCCAAAATTCAGAGAATTTTAACATAAGACATATTGGGAAGGGAAGGTAGTAAGAAAAAAAAGTTAGCAAAAAGATGACAGAGTGGCGCTCAGTCACCATTCCTGCTGGGCAGGATTCCTATGGCAGGAAGGTGGGATGCCAGCACTGAGGCATGGGTACCAGCGCAGCAGGGTTTTTCAGTGAGATACACCAGTGTCCTCAGCAAATCCCAGTGCCTGGGGTAACGTGAATGCCTTCCTCCCTCCAGTCTACATCCCCATACCCCACAGCATTTTTGCAAGAACTAAAAGTAATCTTCCCAGAATGCCTGGCAAATCAAAACACTTAAAAGCAGCCATTTTCTTTCTCATAAACAAACCATTGCAATAAGCATCAAATTAGAAATAGTGCTTGAAAATGGCCTGTTGCTTTAAAATGAACAATAAATATCCATCCAAAGCAGTATTTGCTGAATGAAAAATCTTAAATCTAAAGTAAATTTAAATTTTTTGGAGTTATATAGTGTATGTTCAAGAAAAGAACTCACTACGCTTCTGAGGGAAAACAGTACGTGGAGCTGGATAGCTATAATCCTCCATGAGAAACAATAAACGGAAAAAATTTGAAACTCTATAAATTTAACTATTTATACTTTATTGAACTCCAGCTTTGTTTATGAGAGTGAGTTTCCAATACAATTTTGACAACTCAGCTATTGCTTTAACTTTAAAAAATTATTGGTTCCCACCTTTGTCCAAAGGACAGCAAATAGTAAGCTTGGGTCCTGACAAAGCCACCACCCTGTAAACTCGGACACTGGATTCAGTCCTCCTGTTCCCAAGTCACCCAAGTAGAATTTGCTTTCTCTAACCCAACATTTTAGAACACAAAAAAGAAAACACACAGCAGAAGTATGTATTACTTTTTTGCAGGTTAAACCTTAAAAGTTCTCTTGGATTTGCTTTTAACTGTTTCGTCAATATGATAAAAGACTTGAAAGAAGGAGGAAAGTGCGCTGAGACTCTGCTACTAACTCTAGTGTCACCCTCCTGCCACACCAGCCTCTGCAGCAGGCTGCCATCCCAGGGGAACACAGCTTCAAGTTCCAAACCTTTTCCTTCCTACGGCAGATATTTTTCTGTATGGCTACTGACTAGTAGTCCGGCATTTTAATAATTGCAAAATATCCTGCCAAATGAATGCATCTCGATTATGGAAAGACAATACACACCAGAACAATCCTGCTCAACATAAGGATGCCTCCCTCATACCTGCCAAGATGCTGCTAGATGAGTCCCCCAAACTCCATCCTTCTTAAAGAGGTAGAGTCATCTTTACAACTGTGTTCCTTAGCTCTGGATTTCAATGGATTGGGTTCATATACTGGCTTAATCTTAGGTTTCGATTTGGTAAATGGGGAAAGAGAAATGCAAAGACATTACCACCAGTGCCATCTCCAGCAGTGATGTCACCTCCTTGAATCATGAAATCCTTGATGACACGATGAAACGTGCTTCCTTTATATCCATATCCTTTCTAAAGAGATGATTTCAGTTGAGTAACAAGTAATAGAAGCCATACTGAAAGATAAACTCAGTGTTTATCTGGAAAGGACAAACTGAGGAAATTAAATAAAATATCTATAGAACTTGATTACACCCCAGCTATGGTTTACTGAGAGGAATTTATCATTAGCTGACCAAAAAATAAATATGTTATGTAAGCAAAGTATTACTGTGAATAAGTTAAAAGAGAGCAAACTGTATTTTCACTTGATGATTATTTTCTCCCAATTTCCAGAAGCCTGAGGGCACAGAGTACTCAAATAATACAGATTTTACTGGAAAATAAGGTAAAATGTGGTAAAGTTCATCTGACATACTAATTTAATACTTATTTTCCAGACGACATCTTGATATTTGGCTTAAAAGAGAAAATACCCAGTTGAAAGGAAACAAAACTGAGAGATACCTCTCCTGTTGCTAGAGCAACAAAATTTTCCACTGTCTTGGGCACAACTTTTCCAAAGAGGCCAATCACAATTCTGCCAACATCTTTGTCTCCAATCCTTACATCAAAGAAGACCTGTGTGCAGTTGAAAGAAAGGCAGAGTGGAAGGTTATAAGGTGGAAAATCACAAATACAAAGTAAGTCAAAATTAAAATCTGAGAATTGATCCACTACAAAAGCCCTGCCCATCAGTGTTTTATAAAGGAGCATGACATCGATTAAAGGTACTCTAAAACTATTGCGTGGGTGCATTTCACTCACAAATATTCATTCAACAAACATTATTAAGCAACACCTATGGACCAGGCACTGTACCAGGTTTTGAGCTTAAAGCTGGCTCAACACTGTCAGGGTTGGGCAATGAAGTCTTCAATAATTCTTCTTTTCCCATACCCCAGACAAACACTGCTGCTACTTCCCATTTCCCAGCTTTAAGGATAAAGATTAGAGTGGAAAATGTTGCTCTTTTAGAAAATAATGCTCTCTAATCTTGGCAGGAGAAAAAAGTTTGTGAGGAAATGGGCTAACCATCCAAATTTATTGTTTTGTCATTTCAAACAGTCTCAAATTTGCTATGAGTTCTCAATAGATGTCTGCCATCCAGGCGAAAATGATGAAACACAGCAGTGTTTCATCAGGCCTTCAAAGGCCTGCCACTCACGTCTAAGCACAGTAAAGCAGCAGGTCCCCAGGTTTTCCAAAGGACAGCAAACATTAAGCTTGTGTCCTGACAGAGGCATCACCTTGTAAACTCAGACACTGAATTTAGTCCTCCTGTTCCCAAGTTACCCAAGTAAAATTTGCTTTCCCTAACCCAACATTTTAGAACAGAAAAAAAGGAAACGTGGCCAGAAGGGAGTGTGAGTCCCCTTTCTGCAGGTAAAACCTTAAAAGTTCTCTTGGACTTGTTTTGAACTGTCTCATCTGAAACAAAATTATATGCGTTTTGCTTCACAAATCACTGTGCTCAGATGATTCTGAAATAGAACGCTTGAAAAGGCCACAGAGTCGAAGGGCATTCTATTAGCGAGTTTAGATTATATGAACCAATTTACTGTTTGAATGGGTAAAAAAGACATTCAACAGATGGCTTTAAAAAATATAAGAAGAGTTGTCAAAGAAAAAAGATGTCTTACAGTTTAGAAAAATCACTAAGTAAAGACTGTCAAGCTTTAGTTCAAGACAACAACTTCTGCCAATACATCAGCACGTCAGTCACAGGGTGATGTGATATTTAGTGTTCCATGTGACATTTTACAATTTTTACATGGCCAAAGCAGCAAAACTTTTATTATTATTTATATAGAAGAGTGCTGTAGCATGCATAAAAGGCCCTGCCCTTGAGATGGGGCAGTGTGTTAAAGGAGTACAATTCAGCATGGCTTGGGATAGGAAGCTGCTTCAACACATGCGTGAGCCTGCTCAGTGCAGAGCTGGCTTACAAGATAAGTTGTTTCCCCAAAGGGAATTGCGAGCCAAGGTGTAAATTCAATAACCAGCAATAACGAAGTAGCACCCGGAAGCCAGTCAGAGAGGCAACCTTAAATAAACATCGTATAAGACACGAGAAGTGCCTTCCGGACTTTTAAAATAAAGAACAGAAAACAAAGCCTGAGAATGTTTAGAAAGGAAGGGAGTATGATCTGGGAGAGCAGCATGAGCAGATGAAGAAAAAGTACCTGTCACCCAGCGTAACTCTTCAGCAAAAATCACATTTTTTTTTTTTACACATAGCCTAGCACACATTGTGATTTTTCCCCCCAAATTGAAATATCCTTCAGCTTCATGAGTGAGCTGAGCAAAAGAACAAAAAGCAGGTTTTCCCAACTCTAATGGAAACGATAAAATCAAATCTTAGTTTGTCAACAAGTATTTATGCAAGGTCCATGTAAAAGGCAATGTGAGGGCACAAACTGCATAAGAGAGTCCCCGTCCTCAAGCAGTTTAAAATAGATAGGTAGGCAAGCCCATAGCCACAGTACAGGGCAGCGTGTGACAAATGCCTCCAAAACACTGTAAGCCCAGGAACGATGAGGCTGAGGAGGAAGGCTTAAGGGAAGTGGGTCTGGGAGGAGGGGAGCCATCTCTCCAACAAGGATAGGGGTGAGCCCTGCCTGGCAGACTTCTTTCTGGAGCCATCCCACCTAGGCAGGAAATGTGGCCTGTGTGCAGAGAAGCAAAGCTGCCCTTCTGACCACGACTAGGGGTGAGGGTGAGTAGGGGTCAGCAAAGAAGCTGCCCACCAGTTTCAGAAGGCAGAGGAGAGATGCCGGCTTAAGCATGAGTTTTGTTAGACAACAGAGAGAAGAGAAAGAATCGGGCCAAGTGAGGCTCTAGGAATGTTACTTAGAGAGAGAGAATCCGGAGGCTCTCACACTAGTTCAAGAATAAGGTCATAATGGCCTGCACTGGGTGGTAGCGGAGGGAATGCACAAGGGAGATGGGAAAGACACTTATTTATTTATTTACTGAGACAGAATCTCGCTCTGTCACCTAGGCTGGAGTGCAATGGCACAGTCTTGGCTCACTGCAACCTCTGCCTCTCGGATTTAAGCCGCTCTCCCGCCTCAGCCTCCTGAGTATCTGGGATTACAGGTATGCACCACCATGCCCAGCTAACTTTTGTAGTTTTAGTAGAGACAGGCTTTTGCCATATTGGCCAGGCTAGTCTTGAACTTCTGACCTTAAGTGATCTATCCATGTTGGCCTCCCAAAGTGCTGGGATTACAGGCATGAGCCACAGTGCCCAACCAGAAGAGGCATTTAAACAAAGGGGCAAAGACTGGAGGAGGAGCAGGAAGGAAGAGGGAAGGAAACAAACGTTACTTAGTGTTGGTCTCAGTTTGTGTAACCCACATCATCTTATATAATTAATGCTCACCACACCTCGGAAAGGTGGGATAGGAGCTATTATCACTAATTTACAAACGAGAAAAGTGGAAATGAGAGAGGTTAAGTGATTTACCAAGGTTTCCCTACTCTAAGTATGAGAGCCAGAATTTCAAGGCTGCCTCTAGCTAAACTGGTTTGTCGTTAATAGGACTCTCCCAGTCTAGCCAGGGAAACCTAAGGGGTAGAAACAGTGTTTTTAGTTCCCCAGCTAAAGGTCAGCAGAAGGAGGCAGTCAGGAAATGTTAAATGGTTCAATGTCAAATGATATTCAAGGAAGACCTGGACACACACATTCCTACGCAGAAGGTGAGGGAGCTGGCAGCAAACTCTCTCACTCTAAACCCTCTCACCACTGGATTCATCTCTGATGTTGCTGAGTGCCTCTGGGAAACAAGGCCCAGTGCTGGGCCAGGGGTGGGGTGGGGCTACAAAGCTTAGTCTAACAGAAAACACGTACATGAATGCTATAATATAATGAGAAGTCAGGTTTTATAAGACAAGGACAGATAAAGTGTCATGGCAAGGGGTGGGTATTATCTGTGGAGATCAGGGTGCGCTTCCTGGAAAAGGTGATACCTGGATTCCATGCTAGACTTTGGGGATGGGCACCTCAGTCACTTGTTTTTTTCCTCAAGGCTGCCCTTGAAAGTCATTTGAAAATTATGCAGCATTGGAGGTGGGAGGAGGTAGACAGGGAGGAGGCATTCACACGGCCTGACCCAAACCTCTGCGAAATTAATCCTGATTCCATTTCCAAAGTAACTTGAGAGCACACCCAGTACGTGAGCGGCCATGTCAAAGAAACTGTTCTCAAACGCAGCTCCACCACTCAACGGCCATGGAAGCCTCAGCAAATTAATTAAACTCTGAACTCCCTCTCTTCATCTGTAAAATAAATGATGATTCTTTTCAGGTCTGCACTGTCACAGTAGGGTTAAGAGTGACTTCTGAAATCAGGGACTATGGACTATGTGCTTTACCTGCTGCTGTGGTTTGAATATTTGATCCCAATGTTGGAGGTGGGGCCTAATGCAAGGTGTGTGGATCATGGGGGTAGATCCCTCATGAATGGCCTGCTGCTTTCTCAGCAGTGAGTGAGTTCTCACTCTGTTAGTTCCCATAAGAGCTGGTTTTTAAAGGAAGCTGACATCACCCCCGTCAGCCCCCTCTCTCACCCGCACGCCTGCTCCCTGTTACCTTCCACCATGGGTGGAAGCACGCTGAGACTGTCACCAGATGCCCAATCTTGAACCTTCCAGCCAACAGAACTGTGAGCTAAATAAACCTTTTTTCTTCATAAATTACCCAGCCTCAAATATTCCTTTATAGCAACACAAACAGACTAAGACATCTGCTTTACCACATCTAATATGCAAAGCCCTCCCATATATTTCTGTCTCCATTTGACAGAGGAGGAAACGGGGCCATAGACATTCAATCACTTGTCCAAGGCCACCTAGCCACAGCCTCCTGGCCACTACATGCTAATGCGTTTGCAAGCTGTAATATGTGTGCAACTGGAAGGATGGTGGCATTACACTCCCAGTACTGGACCCTGCACAGATTTGATGGCATTGGTTCAAAAATATAGGTCAGCAAATGTAATTCTGTGGATTTGGAGCCCAATGAGCTAGAGCCCCCACCTGAGCCTCTATGGCTGGGGCAGGAAGCTGCCAGCCTGGCCCAGCAGCAGGATCTATGGATGAAGTCAGTGCCACTAATGGGCCATGTGGGCACAATAGTACTTCACACCTCGCTTATTTACAGATTCCTACTTTTAAATGAAATCAGAGGTAAACAAAAACACTGCTAGGGAAAACATTACACTAGAGCGAGGGCCAGTTAATGTACTTGTCTGCACTCAGAAAAATTATTTGTAACATCATTTTCCAATAGATTTAGTTGTCTTTAAAAGTTCATGAAAAAGTAATTTAACAGAGCAGAATCTGTTTAAGATGCGCCTACACAATTAGCTTTTAGAACTTAATGACAAATTTGGTAGGGGGAATAAAAGACATGTTAAGCAACAATTCTCAGAGTAGGGTACATGCTGACTCCCCTCAGTGACAGTGTCACAGACAAGGGATTAGGATACTCAAACTCTTGCCTTCCTGCAGCCACCAGCTTCCTCTTCTCTTGGCTCTGTCTTCCAGTGGTTCCCAGTCCACGCTGCCTGCACACCAGAATCATCTGAAAGCTTCTAAAAGATAGGATACTGAGCCCCACCCATACAGATTGTGATTGACTTGTTCTGGGGTGGGTCTCTGCATCAGTAGGTTTAAAAAGTTTCCCAAGTGAAACTTATTCCCAAATATTACAGGGGACATACACTAAAAAAATTTATTCGTTGTTAATCTGAAATTCACATCTAACTGGGCATCCTGTATTTTATTTGGCAATCCTATTCCCTCTCCACCCACTTTGTAAACCATCAGCAACTCTGGTTAGTTACACCTCCAAAATCTATTCCAAGTCCTTCCCTTGCTCCTCATTTCAACGATTACCACCCTAATCCAAGCCACCATCTGGACTCTGGCATGGTGCCCTGAATGACCTCCCAATTCACTATCCACTGAGTGACCACAGAAATTTCTCAACAGCATATATTGAGATTATGCCATTCTCAGGCTTAAAACCCTTCAGTGGCTCTGACTGCAGAATAAGACTTCAAATTTTAATAATAATTGCCTCAATACCCGCATGCCTACCTGCAACCTCTAAGGCCCTGTGTGATCCCGCTGCTGCTCACCCCTCCAACCTCCTCTCAAGTCACCTCTCATTCTGTGCTGAAGGCACACCGCAGTCCTCTCCACAGGCTCTGAATGCAGGGAGGGCTCTCCTGTTTGAGGATTTTTGCACATGCAGTTGCCTTTACCTCCTGAGTCATCCCTGCGCTGCTTTTTCTCATTTTTCAGGTATTTTTAAATGTCACATAATCTATATTAAAGTTTATTTCCTCCAAGATTTCATAATTGTGCGAATTTTATGTTTATGGCTTTATCCCAAGAGACCCCGTTCGGCTCTGTGGCCTTGCACAAATCATTTCCCAAAATTAGATATGCCTACAAGATCAAGAGGCTGGGAGTAAGATCAGAGCTTCTCAAAACCATCAGCCTGTTTATCAACCCGGCCCACAGCGTGGCATGGCCTTTTATGCGACATCAAATGCTGAGTTGGACCTCTTCCTTCCCACCCTGGTCTTCCCCGGCCTCAGGTGGTGTCTGCGGTAGAGGATGTAAGCATTCTACTAGTTAATTAGTCTTTTCCACGGACAAACCCCAGACTGATTAGGACCACTTTCAGCTGCACCCCGCCCGCTCCGGATTCAGTTTCCAAGACACTATTACTGGCGAGTTTTCTAGAAGTGGTGATTATGGGCACGAAATTATCCCCTCCCTCTCCCTGCGCTCTCCCACTATCGTCTACCCTTGGTTAAAGATGCTGAAAAAAGAACTGAAGCGGAGTTAAGTACGAGGAAGTCCTGAAGACGCACTTTCTGGCAGCCCCCCGCCCGCCCGCGTCCCCCCGCCGTTGAGGCCGCCCCAGGTGCACAGGTGCCGGGTTCGCCGGGCCTAGCACACCCCACAGCCGGCGCCGCTGGCCCGCCGAAGTTGAAGGCGCACCTCCCCTTCCCGGGAGAGGACGACGGTTCCCCAAAACGGGCGGGGTACAGCCTCTCATTTGAGCGAGGCGCTTTGACGCCTGCCCGAAACCCCGCGGCCGGCGCGGAACTAGGCTCTTCCCCGCCCCAGGACAGCGGGGCGGGCTGCTGCAAGCCCTGGGCTCCGAGCGCCTCTCCCGCGCGGGTCCCGTCCCCCACCCTTCCCGCATTCCTCTCGCTCCGCTCCCGAGCCCGGGCCACGGCGAAGGAAGTACTTGGGCAGTCTCCTTCCTGGAGAACGGGCCCGCCGGTTCCGGAAGCCTCTCCTACCCCCAGGCGGCTCACCTCGGACCCTCTACCCTGGACAAGAAGTCCAGGCAGCCGGCGGCCGGGGCCAGCTGGTCTCAGCCCAGAGCCCCCAGGGTCTCCACGGGAGCGCCACCACCCCGCACGCCAGCAGCCCCCTCCCACCCAGCCCCGCGGCCGCCTTCCGTCCCGCTGTGCCCGGGACGCCTCCTCCTAGTCCGCCCTGACACCGAGCCCCAGTGTCCAAAGCGCCCCCAGGCCCCCCGCCCGCCACGGAGGAAGTTGCTGCGCGCTGCTCTCGGTCACCTTAGCCGTCACCGAGGGGCCTCGCTTGCGGAAGCCCCCGACCCCCGAAGAAGACACGAGCGCGCCGAGCCCCACGCAAAGCACGAGCGGTAGCAGCAGCCGGAGACCCGGGGCCATGGTGAGCGGTGGCAGCGGCGCCACCGGCACGGGCGTGACCGCTGGTTCCGGGACCGCTGGCTGGACTCCCGGACCGCTGCGCCTGCGCGCTCCCGGTTGCGGGGGATGGGGATCGGGCAATCGGGGAAGGGCGGGGACCCGGGGCACGTTCCTCCCAAGTTCAGCCTCGAGACCCGAACTTGTGACTCGGAGGGGCGCGCCCAGCCCGGACTCGGCCGCCGCGCCTAAGGATTCCCTGGGGGAGCCCAGGTTGCCCAGGCGCGACGTCAGGGGCAGCGGGCTCGGCTGGGAGCACCTCCTGGAATTTACCGAGTAGGCGCGGATTGAACCTGGACGGGAAGACAGCCACTCTCGGGTCGCCGCGTCCGCCCGGCAACTAGCGCTCCGCGGGACTGAGACCTCTGCGCCCGGTCGTGGTTTGACTGTTGCCGCCCTTGGAGCAGCCTCTGCCGCGGCCGCCGACTTCCAAAGGCCCAGCGGAACCTTTTGATGGGATTCGGAAGCTTGGCAGAACTTCGGCACCGCTAGACGCGTCAAGCTCTTTGCACTAAAAGAATGACTTCTCATTGAGATGATTCACGTATGGGGAACATTGGCAATTGCTGGATTCACAGTCTCCCTTTGCCTTGGAAAAACTTTGACATTGGCTTTAAGTACTTTATTTGGAGGCTGATTCTGTGATCTTTCACTGTTTACAAGGCAGCACTTATACAGGCCCAGAACCATGTCACGTAGGATTCTTTCCCGGGGAAACAAACAAACTGACTTTTAGGTATATCTGTAGGATGGAATTTTTACGGACTTAAGGATTATGTTTAGGAAGATTATTTAATGACTGGGGAAATAAGTTCTTATTATATTTTTAAATGGAAAACTTGGGTTGCAAAACGACATAGAAATTCTGATCTCAACTGTGAAAATAAATATATCAAGACATTTAAATATTGAAAGAGAAGTACCCCAACAGTAACTACTGTTATATATAGATAGAATTATATATACTGTTATAGATAGAATTGATAGCTATTCATATAATTATGGATTTTCGAGGGTTTTTTTTTAACAGTTTTCTGATTTCCCAAATGTTCTACAATGAGCATATAAGTATTTTGTAACATGGAAAGATTTTAAAACTCATTGCTTTTTAAATCAGAATTTCAGAAGAACTTTTTGATTTTAGAGTAACAGCCCTAAAATTAACTAAAAATTAGTGGCATTCACACATAGGTGCCATTTTAAGGGGGCTGGTGCCATTACTTTCAAGCCAAGATTTTCCTCAGATTAACGGATGGGATTTCTAAGTGTCAGATGGGATTCCTAGGTGTAACTAAGTGTAGATCTAAAATGACATTGAAACCATTAGACAAAAAAGGAGTAACCACTACTTTTTAGGGATGGAGAAAAGGAGAAATGCAATTCTGAACTATTTTTATGATTCAGTCTAGTGAAGGACCGAATAATGGCTTTTCTCTTCATCTCCACCCTCAATAAAGAGTTCCCCTTGTGTAGCAAGACAAGGGTACCTCTCAGAGCACGTACCCTATGAGGCAATTGTATATATTTATCTGTGTTCATTAATTGTTTTCGTCTGTCTGCTATCAGAGATAAACACAGTCAGAGCAGGGATCATGCCTATATTTATTCCCTTTGATGACCCCAGGCCCAGTGCAATACCTGATATATAGTGATTTCTCAATAACTTGTTGAATGAATGATTGTGTCCAACTACTTATACCACCACCATCTCATCCTCTTTCCCAGCTCCCTAGAAACTCCTCTAATACTCTTAAAAAAGTGCCGGTTAGTAACACTCTTTTCTCCCCAAATTAACTGCAATCTTGACTTTTCTTGCACTAAAGTTTAATTTTGTTTTACTTTTATTTGAAACTAGAGGATTACAGTATGTATTTCTTTTGCTTAAACTTTTGTTTGTGAAATTCATCAGTATTTTTGCATATAACTATTTTGGTGGCTAAAACAAGGTGGAGAGCAAATTCATTTTTTTCATACGAATATTCATTTACTTTAGTACAGTTTATTGAAAAGCCTCCCCTTTAACTCACCACTCCATAGTGTTCTTCTGTCATAGAGCAAGTGCCCATGTGTGCAGAGGTGTGTTTGTATCTGCCCCTTTGGCCTGTTTGTCTGTCTTTGTGCCAATACTACATTGTCTTCATTAAAATAGCTTTATAATAACTCTTCATATTGAGTAGTACATGCCCTCTTAGCTTTGTTCAACAAATTCTTGGCTGTTCAAGACCTTTTCCATGTCCGTATAACTTGAGAATCAGCATGTCAGTTTCCACACACTGAGATTTTGATGGGGATTGCATTGCATCTGTAGACAATTTAAGACTTCGCAAATTCACAATATTGAGCCTTCTAATTCATGAACATAGCATATTTAGGTCTTCTTTAGTTTATCTTAGTAAGATTTTATAGCTTTCTGCCCAGAGGCCTTACCTGTATTTTATTAGTTTGATTTCTAAGTGTTTGGTTTTTTATGCTATTGTTATGTTTTGTAGTAAAATGAATTTTATATATTAACCTTGTCTATACCAATCTTTTAAAAATTAATTTTAATAATTTATCTGTGAGTTGTTTGGGATTTTCCCCATAGACAATAATGTCATCTATGAGTAGTGATGGTTTTATTTCTTCTTTTCTAATCTTTATATTTTATATTTACTTTATGGCTTATTACACTGGCTAGGACCTGCAGTTCAAAAGGAAGTGGCAACAGTGGAGTCCTGGTATTGTAGACTGAAGTATCCTCCAAAAAGGTATATTGAAGTCCTAAACCCCAGTATCTGTGAATGTGACCTTATTTGGACTGTCTTTGCAGATGTAATCAAGCTAAGACGAGATTCATACTGGAGTAGGGTTTGCCCTACTCTAATATGACTTGTGTCCTTATAAAAAGAGAAGAGATACAGACACACACACAGAGAAGAACACCATGTGAGGTTGGAGGTGGAGATTGGAGTGCTGTATCTACAAGACAAGGGATGCCGAAGATTGCTGGCAACCCCCAGAAGCTAGGAAGAGGCAAGGAAGGATTCACCCCTAGAGCCTTGAAAGAGTTGATGGCTTGATCTCAGTTGGTGGCTTCCAGAACCGTGAGACAATGCATTTCTCTTGTTTGAAGTGATCCAGTTTGTGGTACTTTGTTACAGCAGCCCTAGGAGGCTCATACACCTTGTCTTGGTCCCAGTGACAGGGGAAAGCTTTCAGTGTTTCACCATTAAGTTTGATATTTGCTGAAGGTCCTTTTGGGGGTATCTTTTTTCAGATTCAGAAAGTTGCTTTCTAGTCCTAGTTTGCTAAGAGTTTTTAGCATACCTTTGATTTAAATTTTATCAACATCATCTATTGAAATCAATTGAAATAATTATTCCCTTACTCTGTTAATGTCATGAATGACATTGATTTTCAAATTTTAACCTAAGCTTACTTTCTGGAATGTGTCCAACATGGATTATTCTTTTTATACATTACTAGATGTGGTTTGCTAATATCTGTTTATTAACAAAGCTACCAAAAACTGAGTGTAGACACTCTTCTGAAGTTCAGGAAAAAAGGAGTGGGTAAAGTGTGGCTCTGGCTGTCCAGCTGAGACTGAGTTGGTCACCTACATGTCATTTCAGTGTTAGTGAGTAAATCTGAGAATCTTATTTTCAGGATATTTGCATCTAAATTCATGAGTGAAACTAAGCCTGAAATTTTTCTTTCTTGGAATTTCCTGTCAGTTTTTATATTAGCGTTATTCTGGCCTCTTAATGTGAGTTGGCAAATGGTAGCTGTTTTTCTTAAAACAGCTTAAAGGGTTTGCATAAGATTACCATTTCTTCTTTAAATGTTTGTCAGAAGCCTGGTGTTTTCTTTATTGTGTAACATTCTAAATTATATATTTAATTTTTTAAATAGTTGAAGGATATTCAAATTTTCTGTTCTATCAACTTTGTAGTATTTTTCAAGGAATATATCCATTTGATTTATATTTTAAAATATAGTTTTATAAAGTTGTTTAAAACATTTTTCAATGATTTTTTTAGGTCTGCAGGACCTGTAGTAATGTCTTCTTTTCATTCCTGACATTGATTCTTTCTTTTCTTGTTTTTCTTGAACAGTTTCACCAAGGAAGCTGATGAATCCAATGCTTTATTTTATTAACTTATGTTCTAACTTAATTTCCTTCTACTTTCTTTGAGTTTAATTTACTGTTATTTTTCTGTCTTCTTGGACAGACTCTTAACTCATTGGTGTTTAATGCTTCTCTTTTGTTTTTTATAATTCTTTATATACAGTTAAAATAATAAAGTTCCCCTTGTGCTTCTTGAAGCTTTGATATGTCATATTTTCATTATTCTTTAAAAATATTTTCTAACTTACATTTTTTGACCCACGTGTTATAGAAAGGCATAGTACTTTATTTCCAAACATGATTAAAAAAATCATTTTGTTAGTGATTTCTAACTTAGTTGTATTGTGGTCAGAGAACATATTCTGTATTATTTCATTCTTTTAAAATATGTAGAGACTTGCTTTATCACATAGGGTCTGAACAATTTATTTGATTCTCCCCTCATTAGAGATAGTGTTCTACATATGTGTTCATTAGACCAATTCATATGTCTATCCTTACTTTTATCTGCTTGTTATAAGAGTTCCTGAGAGAAGTGTGATGAAAATCAATTTCATCATGAATGTAGTTTGCCTATTTCTCCTTGTAGGTCTATAAATTTTTTCTTTATGTGTTTCTTTATATATTTTTGGAACACTTTGTTGAATGCAAGCACATCTAAAATTATCTTTTGATGAACTATCTTATTATGTAGTATTATTCTTTATTTCTAGTAATGTACTTTGCCTTAAAGTCTGATACTAATATAACATCTTTCTTTTGGTTACTGAATGCATGGGTTTGTTTTTTTTTAAATAAGATTCTACTTTCATTCTTTCTGTCCTTATGTTTTAATACATCTTTTGTAAATAACATAAATTGGGTTTTTAATGAAGTTTGATAAACTTTATATTGAATATGTAGCCTGTTGACATATTTGGGTTTAAATCTAACATCTGAATAATATTTTATCCCTATT